AACAAGCAATTGAAGTGATATCAAATGAAGTGATTTGTGTTGACAACTTGCCTCTAAGCCAACCAAAGCCAGTTGAAAGGGTTTTGTTTCCAGATAACGCTGCAATATGCAAATTGCTTGATGAGAATGATAAGTGTCTACTGAGCAAGATTTACAATTTGGAAACCACAGAGTAGGACCATTTTAATTTTATCAAACAATAGATTTTTACTGTTATCAAACTATAACGTGTTAATCAACATTTTTTTTACCTTATGACTAGTGCAATCATATGGTCCGGCACAGGAAATGGAGTATATGTTACATTGCATGATGTGGATTCAATTATGAGAGATGGTGATACTGCAAATAATGTAAGTGGCCATACAATTTTCAATGACTAGTGTTCACTTCAATAACTAAAAATAGTTCATTTTATTAACATATATTAATTGATTTTTGTTTTTGTAGGTCATTGACAGCTTTGTAGAAATGCTTCGGATTGAGCAACAAGCAAAGAAGCCAGGAAAGAATAAGCCATTCTTTTTCTCAAGCCTTTGTTGGGTAAGCCATCAATTTGTGTTTAGATTGAATTGATAAAATGTTACCGTGGTTTAGTGTAATATTGTACTGTATTTTAGAGTTAGTTTTTACTATTTGGTTTGCCAAAGATTGATAACTCATGTAGTGTATCACCAACACAACTTGACACATGACACTCTTATATGATTAAATGCAGTCACTAGTGAAATGAGGTTATTGAGATTTGAGAAATCATTTAATTGACGAAGTGCTTGAGCAAGATTTAAGTGGATACAGATTCATTCACTTTTGCATGAACTCCAATGGGAACAAGAAGGAAGAAAAACCCTACCACTAGACACTTCTTGTATTTGACACTGAATTTGATAAGTAGAGACATTACAATTCTTCAAGGCCAAGAGACAACAGAGAAGATCCTTACCTTAAGGATGCAAAAAAAGATTGTAAGTGTTTTGCATCATAGTAATAGTAATTTTTTACTGTGTTTTATTATTGTATTTAATCGTGACCAAACAATTATGCAATGATGTTAGATAACATATGTGGAGAATAAGTTGCCCAACAAAACGAGGAGAGGTAGAAGAAAGTTTGCAAACTTGGTTTTAGTGAAAGATAGTCTACAACAGCGCCCAACATCGTAAGTATTTCATGCTACTGTATGCTTGAATTGGTAGTTTTCAAATTTGAGTAAATCTAACAAGAGTTTGATTTCTATCAATAGTGTTGATTACGGAATTATTGTATATTATATCATGCGTCAAATCATGAGAAATGAGCATGTTGCAAGGTCTGTGGAAGATGATGAAATTAACAATTTTCAAGCATCAATAGTGCATTAATTTTTGAATGATTCTCCAAAAGCATAGAGTGAGAAACAGTTCAACCTCAAAAGAAAAATAGCTAAGTAATAAGTTCTCAAGGATGACAATGTAAATGACTTTTGGGAACTATTTTTTTGTATCTGATGTGAATGATGAATGTCATTTGATTTTTTGTAAATGAAAGAATGCTGAAAGAATAATTATAGGTTAAAGAATGCTAAAAGAGTAACAATGATACATGTTATAATTATTATGGATTAGGATGAAATATTGTTATAAAACGTTATTATGGATAAAATACAATTACACAGTATATATTTTGTGTCTCTTGATAATATATTTAATTGTGGTGTTATATTATTTTTGCACAAATATTGCGTTATAAGCAGTAAGGACTTTGTGTATTATTGTAAATTTTGGTACAGGTTAAAAATATTTTCCTATAACACTCACATACTTTAAAGTACAATTTTACTTTGCAATGGAGTACAATTTTACTTTCAATTCAAAAAACAAATCAAAAACTTGCATAGACAAACATTCAGC